TTTTTTTTTTTTTTTTTTTTACGTAGTAATTAGTCATCCCTTATAATAAAGTTATAACTTACAAGTGTTTATCTTAATTATTAGCTAGGTTTAGTGTTAATCTTCTAGTCCTTTGAATTAACTTTGACTAATTAATAGACTTCTTCTAGCTAGGTAATATTATTAAAGATCCTCAGAGAAGGTTTTGGTTTGAAAACAGTTGAGTGGGATTCATTCGATCAGCAAGAAGATCTAGGTAGGGCATACCTTGTAATCATAAGTTATGGGCAGGCTTAATTGTTGGAAATTCTATCTTCCATTCATCGAACGCACAGTATTTATCCATAACATATGTCAATAAAAGTAAAGGGGCATTTCATTTTGTGCTCTCATTCGATATATATTTGACTTTGAAATGTAATGCTAGACCCTAGAGAGATGAGAAATCATTTTGCATGTGATAATTAACAGTAATGCTCTCTTCTCTGACTGAGATTATTACAGTCCAACTAGTCCAACTTTGTCTGTAAACTCCGACTCTTATACAGGGAAAGTTCCTTGTCATTTTAACTTTGACCTGGACTGCATTATACAATCAGGGTGATGGGCCTTTTAAAGTAATGATAACGGCTTGGTTATTGGGCCTTTAATTTTTATTTTTTTATGACACAAGGGTTAAAAACCCCCAAACAAAACCTACACAACGCGAATTAAACGGGCCCTAGAGACCCCAAGCATATTATCAACCAAAGCCACTCCAGCCCAAAGAGGCACTGAATCAAACCAACACAAGCCTATGTCCAGATTATAGCTTCCATTAGCAAGACATTGGGCCTTCAATTTGAGGTAGAAGAATTCCTTTGATCTCCGTTTGAATGAAGGAATTTAAAATTACATAAAATTCTTAAATGACAGAATTTAGATCTCTATCATTAAATTTCTAGTAATTAATAATTTCAGTATTTGGATTTATGTATGTCGAACTTTGTAAATGACCGAAATTACAGTGAAAATGAAGTCCTGCTCAATTAGAATTGTGAAATGACGACTCTTTTGGCGGAAATTAAATTCGGGAATCTCGATCCCCAATTTTCACGATTTTTCCCACGTCATTTAATAAGTTCCATGTTTAAGTTGCCAAACAATGGAAATATCAATTTCTTCTCTTCAATTTTCGACTTTTAGCTAAATCCCGAGTTATTTTCCTCCATCCAAATGGAGGGTTGGTGGTGCTTCTAGGACTAATAAAGAATGTTTAAATGGGGTTGAATTTAAGGAAGCAAGCCTAAGATATCCTAGGTCTGTTTATGAGATTGTGAGAAAGGATTATGACAAAAAAAAAAAAAAAAGATTTTGAGAAAGGAAGAAAGAAAAAGAAAAATCTTTTATGAGATATTGTGCAATGCAATGTCATGCTCATGTAGGTGAGATATTCTAATAATATAAAATACAAAGGAAATGGACATTAAAATCTCTCACCTAACCTATGGCTATAATAAGTTAGAGTCATACTGATCAAATCATCCAGATGACTAGATAATGCATGGATGGTGTACATGTTGCCACATTGTCGTCCATTTTTCTGAAGGGTAATCACCAAACACTAAATATGGACCATTTAAGTTTTAGCTGGTTCCGCAGCGACTACAGAAGAGAACAGCACAAGCCTGTGGAGATCAAAATTGAAAATGGGAAGAAGCAATAGAAATATTCCGGAGTTGCCAGTGCCAGTGCTGAAGCTGATGGTGCCAGATGGTAATAAAAGCATGCCAGTGATAGGGTTAGGGACGGCTTCATATCCTTTTGCTTACAACGAAGCCACAAAAGAAGTCATTCTCAATGCAATCAGAGCAGGCTACAGGCATTTTGACACGGCTGCCGTTTACAGAACAGAGCAGAGTCTTGGGGAAGCCATCTCCCAAGCCCTTTCTCTAGGCCTCATCAAATCCCGGGATGAGCTTTTTATCACTTCCAAGCTTTGGTGCACTGATGCACACCCTGACCGTGTCCTGCCTGCCATTCACAACACACTCAAGTAACTAATTACTTGATCAATTAACATTCACTTTCAATTCATAATACATTTTCATTAATTACAAATTTTGATTCAGTTTGTATATTGTAATTTGTATGTGTGTGTATATAAAATATATTCAGGAATCTAGGATTGGAGTACCTTGATCTGTATCTGATACATTTTCCAGTGGGTTTGAAGAGAGCTGAAAGCTCTGAATATCCTTTTAAGAAAGAGGACCTTGTTGCCATGGATTTCAAGTCGGTGTGGGAAGGCATGGAGGAGTGTCAGAAGCTTGGCCTCACCAAGTCCATAGGTGTCAGCAACTTCTCATGCAAGAAGCTAGAAATCTTGCTTGCTACTGCAAAAATCCCCCCTTCAGTCAACCAAGTAATCACCCAAAAACTATATATATATATATATATACACACGAATGATTCAAGGCAAGAGTACTTAATTATTAATCTGCTGGTTTGATTATAATTTGCAATTAATTTAAATAACTAGGTGGAGATGAACCCGCTGTGGCAGCAGAAAAAGCTAAGAGAGTTTTGTGAGACGAAGGGCATAGTGATCACAGCCTACTCTTCATTGGGGGCAAATGGAACACCTTGGGGGACAAAGGGAGTCATGGAATGCGAGGTGCTCAAACAGATTGCGGATGCAAAACGGAAAACCCTTGCACAGGTACAGGTGCACTCACGCCCTATTTAATTACGAAATAATTACCACGCACAATCCTGCCGGAATGATTGCATTTATTAAATTAATGAATGATTCTGGGTGCTCTTCTTGTGCATGCATAAATCAAAATGAAGGTTTGTCTGAGATGGGTATACGAGCAAGGGGTGAGTTTGGTGGTGAAGAGCTTCAATAAGGACAGGATCCAAGAAAATATTGGCATATTTGATTGGGAGCTGAGTCCTCAGGAAGTGGATAAGATCAATCAAATTCCACAAAACAGAGGATTTACGGCAATCAACTTCATTGCAGATGAAGGTCCTTACAAGTCTGTTCACGAGTTTTGGGATGGAGAGATTTAATCATCAAAATTCACCTATCGAATGTTGAGAGTTAAGCTGCATACTAGCCTCGAATCAAGCTGCAGATGTTAATCCTACAGATTGACAGTGAGGAGGATGAAGAAATCGAAGGAGCTGAAGCAGGCACGGACCTTAGTGTAGCTTCACCTGGGCTACAGCCCGGGGGGCTTTAATTTTTTTACAGTCCAAAGTAAATTTTAGCCCGCCTACTCTTTAAAAAAAATACCCACATGTCTTGGGTTAGGGCATAAATAGATATGATATATAGGTTAAAGGAATAAAAAAATAACAAATGTTTGCCCTGGGCTTGGGTAGTATAAAAATAAACAAACTATATATAATTGTTTGTTGGTAAAGAATACTATATAATTTTATTATAAGAGAGAACTAATGTTTTCGGTCAAAGGGAGAAATAGAGCTGATGAGAGAAAGTGTGTTTTTAATACTTTTTGTTTGTTTGTGTTGTATTTAGGCTTGTTTTTCTTCTTCATTTTTTGAAAAATAAGACGTTGCCTCTTCACAACAAAAAATTTAGTATTTAACATGTAAATTTTGCTTAGTTTAACATAAAATAAAATTCACTTGTACCATTGAGTTGAACATGAAATTTTTTCGTACCTTCGTACCTTGAAGATTTAACCCGCCCCAATTTGGAATCCTGGGTCCGTCCCTGAGCTGAAGAACTTTTCTTTTATAGTAATAGCCGTTATAGGTTATGTCCAACGGCTAGTTTTCTTACTATTTTGGGAAACTCTACAGCTGTCATTCTTAGCTGTCTTAGTCCTTTCTACCGTAACGATTTCTAGCCTAGGTGTAAGAATCGTAGCCTCCAATGACCTTGAATGGCTGGAGATGAGTCCTTGTGTCCTAGTTTTTTAGGATCTGTTTTTGGCAGCTTGTGTCATGCTTATAGTCTGCGTTTTTGGCTCTGATGCATACACAAGAAAATCGACTGAAACATTCTTATTCTCTTTGAATTTTTCTCTCCTCTGCATACGTTATTTACAAAAGGTTTTATTTGTTCTGTAAATCAATCAATAAAACCAGAAAGCTAAATACCAAATTCTAACATGGTATCAGAGCTCCTGGTCTGATTTCACAGAAGGGGCGTGAGCTGTGAGAAAGGGGGTTTTCCTGAAATCTCTAAAAGGGATAAATGTTGCTCTTTTATTGCGTGGTTCACTGAGACTCACATAAAAATGGTGGGATCAGGTTCTGCAGGTGGAGATTTACGAACTCCACAGTTTAATGGTGCAGACTATGATTTTTGGTCAGTAAAAATGGAGACTATTCTCATAGCATATGATCTATGGGATGCAGTGGAGATTGGAGTACAACCACAGCCGATTATTGAGGAGGAAGCAGGCTCTGAAGGAGAAGAAGGTGAGACTGAGCAAATCCCAGTGGAAGCACCTACTATCTCCAGAGAAGATAAGATCAAAAATGCCAAGGCTTTGAGTCTTATTCAAGGAGCACAAACAGATGAACTCTTTCCTCGCATCAGAAATGAGAAGATTGCAAAAGGTGCTTGGGAAATTATGAGAAGAGAGTTCAGAGGAGATAAAAAGGTAAGAGTTGTGAAATTACAAGCTATTAGAGCTGATTTTGAATATTTGAGAATGAATGATGTTGAATCTCTGGATGACTACTTGGCTCAATTTTTTGAAATTGTAAACAACTTGAAGTCTCTAGGCGAAGATGTAACAGAGAAAAGGATTGTCCAAAAATTGTTGATGAGTCTAAGTAGGAGGTACAAGTCCATAGTGTCAATCATTGAAGAAACCAGAGACCTTGACACTATTAGAGTTGAAGAAATTCTTGCATCTATCAAAGTCTATGATAAGAGAGAGGATTTGCATGATGAAAGGGATAAGTTGGCAGGAACTGAGAAAGCTTTTAGCAATCTCAGAGTTGGAAATAATCAAGCTTCTTAAGCTAACAAAAGTTCTCAGGGAAGGCCTAATCAAAAATGGCCAAGGACAAAACAAAAAGGGCTCAAATTGGTCTCAAGGTGGAAACTTTAACAACAATAATGGCTCTAGAGGGAATTGGAACAACAGTTTCAATTCACAAAACACACAAGAAAATAGACTGAAACATTCTTATTCTCTCTGACTTTTTCTCTCCTCTGCATACGTTATTTACAAAAGGTTTTATTTGTTCTGTAAATCAATCAATAAAACCAGAAAGCTAAATACCAAATTCTAACATGGTATCAGAGCATTTGTTGAGCTACAAAGTGGATTCAGTTTAAAGAAACTAAGAAGTGACAGAGGTGGAGAATACACTTCACATGAATTCCTTGAGTATTGCAATGATCTTGGTATGGAAAGACAACTGACTATTGCCTACTCACCTCAGCAAAATGGGGTTGCTGAGAGAAGAAACAGAACCATTTGTGAAATGGCAAGATCAATGATGACTGAGAAGAAAATTCCTGTAAAGTTCTGGGCTGAAGCTGTTGGTACTGCTGTATATCTGCAAAATAGGTGCTATACCACTACAGTTACAGACAAAACACCATTTGAAGCTTTCACAGGAAGAAAACCAGGTGTAAAACACCTAAGAGTGTTTGGAAGCATCTGTTACAGTCACATTCCATCAAATCTTAGACATAAGTTTGATGACAAAGCAAGCAAAGGAATCTTTATGGGTTATGGCAGCTGTGAGAAGGGTTACAGGATCTATAATCTTCAAACTGAGAAGATCCACTACACCAGAACATATCATTTACGGCGCACAAAGCACGCCGTAAAGTGTCATTCACGACGCAAGGCTGCAAGCAGTAAAAGCCCTCGTCGTAAATGATATTCCTCAATTACGACATGTTTTTCCAGTCGCAAATAATCACATGAAAATCACGCCGTAAACCTTATTAAGGCGTACATATAACGTCGTTATAATTACTTTAGACGGCTTGCAATGTGAGCCGTAATTCAGTAGAAGCAATTACGACATGCAGTGTTTGTCGTAAATGAAGACTATTGACTAGCAATTACGGCTTATTATGTATGCCGTGATAGGGTTTTTTTTTCTTCTTTTTTTTCTTTTTTTTTTCTTTTTCTAATAATAAATCTCATGTTGATTGTGTCATGTCATTCAATACCTGTTACCTGTTAAAAAACTCAAAATTTATAAAACCATTGCCATCTAACCCAGTATTAAAGAAATAGATATCGAACGAGATTAATGAAGGCATCCTTGTGCTTGGATTAATCAATAGAAATTTTCAAATACAAAAACATAACATTTGATTGATGAACTGAAGCACCTAATGTCAATAGAGCCATACAAAAAAGACCAAGCAATTTCCATAGATACTAAGCAGCAGCGAGTGTAGTGGCTAACGCTCCAGCCCTAGTGTTGGTAGTTGATCATTTCCTCTCAGCAAACCAGCTTCTTGCTAAAACATCACCCAGAAAAAATAATGAAAATACATGAGTAAATACACTTGAAAATTACTGAGCAATCTGTTAGTTGTTGATCATTTCCTCTCAGCAAACCAGCTTCTTGCTAAAACATCACCCAGAAAAAATAATGAAAATACATGAGTAAATACACTCGAAAATTACTGAGCAATCTGTTAGTAGTTGATCATTACTAAGCAATGTGTTATTCGTAATCCATAAAAAAAGGTAAGCAAATTCATACTCATAAAGATCAGCAAAACATCAACAACAAAATGATTACCTCCATCAACAGCTAGTCGAAGGTGATGAACTTGATTGGCCATGCAGGGTCTTGCATCCATAGCTACTCTTTACTCTTTCAACGGCAGCAAATCCATCTGCCTGTGGAATAGGAAGAAAGAAAGTTTGATAAAACTCGCTTAGATTCAGAAACCACTAGTACTTGCAAATGAAGCTCGGCAAGGAACTATTGGACAGAATATATGTAAAGCCAATACAAGATTGGTTGATGGATAAAAGTAGCAACTGACTTAATCAGAAAGTTAGAGGTGCAAGTAAAGCAGGGCATAAGAGTCGAGGCTTAAAGCATATAATGTGTCAGAAAAAATGGAAACAACAAGAAATAGAAAGTAACTGTGAAAATAAAATAATGTAGACTATAACTCAATTGGAGATGTCTTCGAACCATAGCTGCATCAGTAATGTGCATGTCAGATCCACAAAACATTCATAACCATCTGACTATCCAAACTGAAAGATAATAAAAGCAGCAAGTCTGTGTTAGGCGAGATGCAGTTGAATGACTCGAGGCTAATTTGGGTTTCCTATGCTCATTTTAAAAACAGATATCTTTAAAGAAATCGTGTTGCTCACTTTTTTGCTCTGCTAATCGGCCTTGTTGAATCACCCAAGCATCAAGAGCAAGCTTTTTATAAGCCCTCTCAATCACTTTCTCCTCAATAGTATATATACTGTTTGAAAATGAAAATCATGGTTTGATAAAGAACTACATAATGCCACTATCATAAAGAATGACAATATCTACAGTAGCAAGATTAATACCAAGTCCTCCAGCTCTGATAGAAACACTGGAAGCAATGGCTTAAGTGCTTTTGGTGAACAAAATCCAGGTATGAGAATTGCTCCTCCCTGCAAGGTCACAAACATAACATATTAGGATTAATATAGACCATTCACTGGAAAACATTTAGAATACACAAGATATGGAACTTATTTGGAACAAAAGAATCTGGCCACATTAACAATCTAAACTATTTTCTCACATTCTTCTTCCTACTCTCCTAATCCCTGGAAGTAGATACACCAACTCATACTAATTTAATATATGAAGCAAGGGAACTGAACTTACAAACCATTGAGAAAGCTTCCCAAGAAACCTGTTGAACAGAAGCTAACATACAATGTTATACACTTGGAGTCAATAACAGAACATGAAATACTCGACTATCATTGACAGCTATAACAAGCTCAGATATAAGAGAATCGACATCTTCCTCATCTATGACTAAGACCACAATGTCAGCACTATCACCAAATTTTAATTGTTCATAGGGAGCAACGTTCCTCTTCACAGTACTTCAGTGCTATGTTGTAACCCCTAGCTTCTTTTATCTCTATTTCCATTCAACCAACTTCACTGAAATTGAAACTCAACTTCATTGAATTAGAATCCAAATTCGATCAAACAAAATCAGAAATCCAAGTAGAATCTTGGATTCAATAATAAATCACATACATATAGAATCCAAATTCAATCAATTACAAACAAACTTTCACATAGAATCCACAATAAAAGCAAGCGAAGGACATCTAGAACTGAACGAAAACTCAGTATCAAGCATGGAGGTTAGGGATTTAGAAAATAGAACCTTAGGAACTGTCACGGAGAATTCAGCTTTGCTCGAGCAATTGTCTTCTAGCAAACGGGGAACTGGAGCTCTTGATTAACTGTGAGAGAGAATCCAGAAATTGTGAGAGAGGGAGATGGAGAGAGAAGTGGAGCAATAGTCTTTCAGCTTTGCTTGAACGTTCGTCTGAATGAGAAATAAAACGAGGGAAGTTAAAAAAATATATCTTATATTACAAATATATTGAGTCGTTTTGGGCGAAAAAAAAAAATTTGAATTACAAATTACGGTGTGCTCATCGCACGTCGTAATATATATTTGCATTTACGGCGTGTTTTTATATGCCGCATATATAATTTATTAACGGCATATTTTACTATCTTTTTAAGGCGTTCTTTGTTATATGCCGTAAATATCAGTTATTTACGACACGCACAAAAAACATGCCGTAAATATCAAGTCGTAAAAGCTCTAATTTGGTGTAGTGATCATACTCTCAAGAAATGCTGTTTTTGATGAGAACAAATCTTGGAATTGGGAAAGCAAGCAAGTTGAAACTGTCTCCATGCCTCTCATCTTTGAAAATGGAAATTCTGAGATAACTGAAACAGAAGAAACCTCTCATGAAACTCACAGCTTTGATTCCCCAAATCTAAATAAATTAATCTCAGATGATGAACATGTCCCTGAAAGCAATGGCAGTGGTACCAGTCAAGGTTCAACTCCAAATGATTCACCAGTAAAGCTGAGAAGTTTGGAGGACATCTATGCAAGATGTCACATGACCATTATTGAACCTGAAACTTATTATGAAGCTATTGAAGACAAAGCATGGAAGGAAGCAATGGATGCTGAGATTGAAACTATTGAAAAGAATGGAACATGGGAGCTGGTGGAAAGGCCTACAGATAAACCAGTCATAGGAGTCAAATGGGTGTTTAAAACCAAGCTGAATCTGGATGGAACAGTTCAAAAACACAAGGCTAGGCTTGTAGCTAAAGGGTATGCTCAGAAACTTGGTATTGATTATAATGAAACCTTTGCCCTAGTGGCAAGGTTAGATACAATTAGAACTTTGATTGCACTTGCAGCACAAAAGGGTTGGAAGTTGTTCCAATTAGATGTTAAGTCAGCCTTCTTGAATGGAGTACTTGAGGAGGAGGTTTATACTGAGCAACCAGAGGGGTTTGAAGTGGAAAAAGCAAGTCATAAGGTCTATAAGTTGAAGAAGGCTCTCTATGGTTTGAAGTAGGCTCCCAGAGCCTGGTACAGTGAAATTGACACTTATCTAACTAGCTGTAACTTTAAAAGAAGCACCAGTGAGGCCACCTTATATACCAGAACTGATGAAAAAGGAAAATTGATCATTGTCTCTATATATGTTGATGATATAGTTTATACTGGAAGTAGTAATGCATTGCTCAGTAGACTCTAAAAGGGTGTTTATGAAATAAACTTATTTGATGGATTCTTCTATAAAGGCTTTGTATATATTTGTATGTAACTTGTGTTGAAGAAGTTAATTTGGAAATTATTAGTCTTTTTTGGGTGGACATTTATAATGGCGTCAATGATGGTTCCTGAGGTAACACTGAACTCGTGTGACGGTATAACAATGCCAGTGATCGGCATGGGGACTTCATCGTACCCTCGTGCCGATCCGGAAACAGCCAAGGCTGCAATTCTTGAAGCTATCAAAACGGGGTACCGCCACTTCGACACGGCCTTCATTTACGGGTCAGAGCAAGATCTGGGTGAAGCCATAGCCGAAGCCCTGCGTCTTGGTTTCATCAACTCCAGAAGTGAGCTCTTCATCACCACCAAGCTTTGGGCCAGCTTTGCTGAGAGGGACCTTGTAGTGCCTGCCATCAAGGCCAGTTTAAGGTATCCTATATATTATTTAATTTAGTAAGTACGCATTAATTAATTATTTATCCGTTAATAATAATATTATTATATAGGAATCTTCACGTGGAGTACGTGGATATGTACATAATTCATTGGCCCTTCAAGTTGAAAGAGGTGAAGAGTACGCCTGTTGAAAAGGAGATTGTGCAACCTCTAGATTTGAAGTCAGTTTGGGAAGGCATGGAAGGGTGCAAGAGACTAGGCCTTGCCAGGGCCATTGGCGTCAGTAATTTCACCTGCAACATGCTTCAGGACCTCCTTTCCATCGCCAAAATCCCTCCCGCCCTCAACCAAGCAAGTATATATATGTATATATATATATATATATGCAGAATTAATTAAAGGGCTTGTCCAATATAGATCCTTATATTTTCTATTTCCTAGACATATATCCATCACTCTATAAATCTATGTGTAAAACCCAATTTCAAATTTAAATGACCGGTAGGATATAAGAGGTCGTAGTATTCCTATATTTTTACATCGTTGCCACCAAACTTCATATTTTATTATAATTTATTTCAAGCATTTCATTAACTGTCATAATTGTAATTAACACTCCCTATTAATTGCATATCAATCACCCCATTTCTTTTGGTTGTCATTCCCTCTAACATACCGCCCCCTAAAATTGCAAACCAAAAAAAATATCTGTAAATTACATATCCAATAATGTACCTATAAAAAAATATAAATATAAATATATTATTTAAATAAAATATAGGTATATTATTTACCAAAAAAATTAATTAAAAAAAAACTAAGTCAGTTACTTTGTAATTGAAATTTCCTTACATTTTTCATAAATTAAAAATAGGTACACAATAATTTATAGAAAATATAGGTACATTATTTACCCATAGGTAAATTATTTTACAATATACCTATAAATGTGTATAGGTACATTATTTGGAGAGGAAAAATAGTTTCATTTAAAAAAAATACGTACATTGTTTTACTAGGTACATTATTAGAGGAAAAAAATAGGTACATTATTTGAAGAGAGAAAATAAGTTCATT